AAATTTTAGACCAAATGTTTATTTCTTGGTCGCAAATTAAAGAGGGATTAATTCTTCTTTTTTTTGGACCAGTTGGAATTTTTAAAACAATTTTTGATAGCCAGCGTCCCCACCCGCCCGTATCAGAAAAACGAAAATTTGGAAAAAAAGTTCAAAAAAATTCATAACTCGAACAATTTTAAACCAAATGTTTATTTCTTGGTCGGAAATTAAAGAGGGATTAATTCTTCTTTTTTTTGGACCAATAGGAATTATCTAAAACAATTTTTGATAGCCAGCGTCCCCACCCGCCCGTATCAGAAAAACGAAAATTTGGAAAAAAAGTTCAAAAAAATTCATAACTCGAACAATTTTAGACCAAATGTTTATTTCTTGGTCGCAAATTAAAGAGGGATTAATGCTTCTTTTCATTGGACCAATAGGAATTTTTTAAAACAATTTTTGATAGCCAGCGTCCCCACCCGCCCGTATCAGAAAAACGAAAATTTGGAAAAAAAGTTCAAAAAAATTCATAACTCGAACAATTTTAGACCAAATGTTTATTTCTTGGTCGTAAATTAAAGAGGGATTAATTCTTCTTTTTTTTGGACCAATAGGAATTATCTAAAACAATTTTTGATAGCCAGCGTCCCCACCCGCCCGTATCAGAAAAACGAAAATTTGGAAAAAAAGTTCAAAAAAATTCATAACTCGAACAATTTTAAACCAAATGTTTATTTCTTGGTCGGAAATTAAAGAGGGATTAATTCTTCTTTTTTTTGGACCAATTGGAATTTTTAAAACAATTTTTGATAGCCAGCATCCCCACCCGCCCGTATCAGACAAACGAAAATTTGGAAAAAAAGTTCAATAAATTCATAACTCGAAAAATTTTAGACCAAATGTTTATTTCTTGGTCGCAAATTAAAGAGGGATTAATTCTTCTTTTTTTTGGACCAGTTGGAATTTTTAAAACAATTTTTGATAGCCAGCGTCCCCACCCGCCCGTATCAGAAAAACGAAAATTTGGAAAAAAAGTTCAAAAAAATTCATAACTCGAACAATTTTAAACCAAATGTTTATTTCTTGGTCGGAAATTAAAGAGGGATTAATTCTTCTTTTCATTGGACCAATAGGAATTATCTAAAACAATTTTTGATAGCCAGCGTCCCCACCCGCCCGTATCAGAAAAACGAAAATTTGGAAAAAAAGTTCAAAAAAATTCATAACTCGAACAATTTTAAACCAAATGTTTATTTCTTGGTCGGAAATTAAAGAGGGATTAATTCTTCTTTTCATTGGACCAATAGGAATTATCTAAAACAATTTTTGATAGCCAGCGTCCCCACCCGCCCGTATCAGAAAAACGAAATTTTGGAAAAAAAGTTCAAAAAAATTCATAACTCGAAAAATTTTAGACCAAATGTTTATTTCTTGGTCGGAAATTAAAGAGGGATTAATTCTTCTTTTTTTTGGACCAATTGGAATTTTTAAAACAATTTTTGATAGCCAGCATCCCCACCCGCCCGTATCAGACAAACGAAAATTTGGAAAAAAAGTTCAATAAATTCATAACTCGAAAAATTTTAGACCAAATGTTTAATTCTTGGTCGGAAATTAAAGAGGGATTAATTCTTCTTTTCATTGGACCAATAGGAATTATCTAAAACAATTTTTGATAGCCAGCGTCCCCACCCGCCCGTATCAGAAAAACGAAAATTTGGAAAAAAAGTTCAAAAAAATTCATAACTCGAACAATTTTAAACCAAATGTTTATTTCTTGGGCGCAAGTTAAAGAGGGATTAATGCTTCTTTTCATTGGACCAATAGGAATTTTTTAAAACAATTTTTGATAGCCAGCGTCCCCACCCGCCCGTATCAGAAAAACGAAAATTTGGAAAAAAAGTTCAAAAAAATTCATAACTCGAAAAATTTTAGACCAAATGTTTATTTCTTGGTCGGAAATTAAAGAGGGATTAATTCTTCTTTTCATTGGACCAATAGGAATTATCTAAAACAATTTTTGATAGCCAGCGTCCCCACCCGCCCGTATCAGAAAAACGAAATTTTGGAAAAAAAGTTCAAAAAAATTCATAACTCGAACAATTTTAAACCAAATGTTTATTTCTTGGTCGGAAATTAAAGAGGGATTAATTCTTCTTTTTATTGGACCAATAGGAATTTTTTAAAACAATTTTTGATAGCCAGCGTCCCCACCCGCCCGTATCAGAAAAACGAAAATTTGGAAAAAAAGTTCAAAAAAATTCATAACTCGAACAATTTTAGACCAAATGTTTATTTCTTGGTCGCAAATTAAAGAGGGATTAATTCTTCTTTTTTTTGGACCAATAGGAATTATCTAAAACAATTTTTGATAGCCAGCGTCCCCACCCGCCCGTATCAGAAAAACGAAAATTTGGAAAAAAAGTTCAAAAAAATTCATAACTCGAACAATTTTAGACCAAATGTTTATTTCTTGGTCGCAAATTAAAGAGGGATTAATTCTTCTTTTTTTTGGACCAATTGGAATTTTTAAAACAATTTTTGATAGCCAGCGTCCCCACCCGCCCGTATCAGAAAAACGAAAATTTGGAAAAAAAGTTCAAAAAAATTCATAACTCGAAAAATTTTAGACCAAATGTTTATTTCTTGGTCGGAAATTAAAGAGGGATTAATTCTTCTTTTTTTTGGACCAATTGGAATTTTTAAAACAATTTTTGATAGCCAGCGTCCCCACCCGCCCGTATCAGAAAAACGAAAATTTGGAAAAAAAGTTCAAAAAAATTCATAACTCGAAGAATTTTAAAACAAATGTTTATTTCTTGGTCGCAAATTAAAGAGGGATTAATGCTTCTTTTCATTGACCAATAGGAATTTTTTGAAAAAATTTTTTATAGCCAGCGTCCCCACCCGCCTGTATCAGAAAAACGAAAATGTGGAAAAAAAGTTCAAAAAAATTCATAACTCGAACAATTTTAGACCAAATGTTTATTTCTTGGTCGCGAATTAAAGAGGGATTAATTCTTCTTTTTATTGGACCAATAGGAATTTTTTAAAACAATTTTTGATAGCCAGCGTGCCCACCCGCCCGTATCAGAAAAACGAAAATTTGGAAAAAAAGTTAAAAAAAATTCATAACTCGAACAATTTTAGACCACATGTTTATTTCTTGGTCGCAAATTAAAGAGGGATTAATTCTTCTTTTTATTGGACCAATAGGAATTTTTTAAAACAATTTTTGATAGCCAGCGTCCCCACCCGCCCGTATCAGAAAAACGAAAATTTGGAAAAAAAGTTCAAAAAAATTCATAACTCGAAAAATTTTAGACTAAATGTTTATTTCTTGGTCGGAAATTAAAGAGGGATTAATTCTTTTTTTTATTGGACCAATAGGAATTTTTTAAAACAATTTTTGATAGCCAGCGTCCCCACCCGCCCGTATCAGAAAAACGAAAATTTGGAAAAAAAGTTCAAAAAAATTCATAACTCGAAAAATTTTAGACCAAATGTTTATTTCTTGGTCGGAAATTAAAGAGGGATTAATTCTTTTTTTTATTGGACCAATAGGAATTTTTTAAAACAATTTTTGATAGCCAGCGTCCCCACCCGCCCGTATCAGAAAAACGAAAATTTGGAAAAAAAGTTCAAAAAAATTCATAACTCGAAAAATTTTAGACCAACTGTTTATTTCTTGGGCGCAAATTAAAGAGGGATTAATGCTTCTTTTCATTGGACCAATAGGAATTTTTTAAAACAATTTTTGATAGCCAGCGTCCCCACCCGCCCGTATCAGAAAAACGAAAATTTGGAAAAAAAGTTCAAAAAAATTCATAACTCGAACAATTTTAGACCAAATGTTTATTTCTTGGTCGCAAATTAAAGAGGGATTAATTCTTCTTTTTTTTGGACCAATAGGAATTTTTAAAACAATTTTTGATAGCCAGCGTCCCCAAAAGCCCGTATCAGAAAAACGAAAATTTGGAAAAAAAGGTAAAAAAAAATTTATAACTTGAATAATTATTAATCAATTTTTTGTTTCTTGGTAGCAAATTAAAGAGGGATTAATTCGATTGTCTACTAATTGGCGGATGGATAATTTTGACTAGGAAATTTGCCAAAATTATTTTACTGAAGGATATTCTTGTAGATTATCATCTAATGAACAATAGGAATCAACAAAATCAATTGTTTATTAACAATTGAATTTTTTAAAGCTCTTAGCTTCGCAAAACTCGAAAATTCGATTGTCTGCTAATTGGCGGATGGAGAATTTTGACTAGGAAATTTGCCAAAATTATTTTACTGAAGGAAATTCTTGTAAATATAAACATCTAATGAACAATAGACAAAATGAAATTTAATTGTTTATTAACAATCGAATTTTCGAGTTTTGCGAAGCTAAGAGCTGTTAAAAACTTTATTTGTTAATAAATAATTGATTTGTATGTTTAATTATGTTTGTAAAATATTTGTATTCAACTCTATAGTGAAAGAAATTATCGCGAAAAGGAAAGAATGAAGAATTTATCATTTCGTATTATTCAGTTGGCTGATAGCGTTCGGGTGAGGGTGCTACTACTAAAAAATTGATTAAAATTCTCTATTCTTTAGAATTGTGTAGGGCTCAGTCGCTATATACTATATATACTATATACTAGAACTCAGGTGATTTTCAGATTATGAGAATTATTAAATTTGGAAGAAATAAATTTTAAATTCGTTTTTACCTAAAATTTCGATTGTCTGATAGCGTACGGGTGGGGGTGCTACTATACTAAAAAGTTAAAATAAAATTTTCTATCCTTCAGGATTGTGTAAGGGTCAATCCTTACTACTAAAAAGTTAAAATAGAAATTTTCATTCTTCAGAATCTTTTTGGCACACCAGGCGTATTTGTCATGGCATGTAGAGAATTTGAAGAACTTTTTGAAAATTATCACGGATAACTAATTTCAGGGAGCTAAATTATCAGAATAGTTTTCTATAAGAATTATATGTTACAAAAAGGCAAAAAATCTTACCATTGACTGTTTTCGCCTATGCCCGAGCTTCATCCTGAAGTACTGTACTTGTATGATGTCCTCCAAATGAAACAAAAACACTCACTCGCGATTTTAAGAATTTCATATACTCACAATACTACGCAAAGTTAAATATTAATCACTTCTTTAAAAGTCTTGAGAAAATTACAATCAATTACAATTTATAAACACCCTACAATCGTTCGCGGTTTTAAAAAAAGTTCGAACACTCCCGAAACTAAAACTTTCCTAAATTTGAAGAAGAATATTTAATTTTTAATAGTTTGCAAATTTTTTAAACACGTCACTTTACTGAAAATATGTACGTTTCTGATGAGAAAATCTTTCTATCATTTACAGTACGATTCACAAATTTCGATTTATTGCTGTTGTGTTTGGGCAGAAGAAGATGCTTCCTGCTTCGTGGGAATCCTTCTCAACTTTTTTTTGAAACCTGAAACAGAAAATGTTTGGATTATTTATAATTAGTTAGAAATATTATACGCACTCACATAACACCGTGAAAAATTCCGAAAAGTTTAATTTGACTCGAATTTGAATTTGAAGTAAAGTTTAAAATGTTTTCCGTTTTTTAAAGTTTGACGCAAAAGTAAACTGAACATTGTATAAAAGATTAAGAACTTTTAAACTTTCATGCAATTTTTTAGTCAAACATTAAGATACAGTGTAGATTTATAGAATTACTTCTAGTGTTTCTTAGCTTCGCAAATGAATATTCCAAAGATTGCCTGCATCCAAGTTAATTTTAACTTTTAAGAAAGTTTTATTTCTGTTTCGGCACGAAAAGTTATCATGAATAGCTTTAGTAATACAATATACAAAATTTATAATATAAATATATTCAAGTCTAGAACTTAGATTTTTTTTATTCTAGTAATAATTGCAAAGCAGAAATCCGCTGAAGTTCCAGACAGTTTAGATTTTACTAATACATAAAAAGTAGTAAAATTAACATTATTCCTTTTTCCCCTCTAATGATTGAATTAGAACATACAAGAAATTGTCCAGTGTATAAAAATACGAAAAGAGTATTATACATTCTACCGCATTATAATTGCAATCTTAATGCGGAAACCGCAGTAGTTAATAACTCGATCTGGTCTCCAAGATCTTGATATAATAACGAAATCACACCGTTTTATCTCTCGCGTCATGTTATATTATACATCTTTCAACAAATGGGATTTTTACTAATATAAATAAATGACGTTAATTTTACTAAATATAACCTTTGTATTATATATATTTACACTCTGTATACTGTAACTTAAAATGTTTAGTTGAAAACTTTTTTTCCACTTATTTATTCTGACAAACTAATTTGCAGACTTGACTGGCAAGGAGGTCAGCTGCGAGTTCAAATGATTCCGATCGCTCATTCTTATGAATGATTTGACTTCGCTTCGTCTGTTACTTCGCTTCTTCGCTTTGACAGACAAATGGTCAAGTGTTCTTCTATATTTTTCAAAGAATTTTTGCGGCAAGAAATGCATAATTTTTCTCAATTTTTCTTAAGATTGCGGTGCAGTAAATGTCCTGGTAAAACAACAACATGTTTTTTTCTAACAATATGAAGTTATACAAAAAGCGGATGTATTCTATACCAGAAACGACATGTTATGTTTCTTAGAAGCATTTTTTGTATATTTATAATAATGATGTTTAAAACGATGTTCAAAAGAAATATATTTATAATATGTTTTCTACGCCGAAAGAAATTGTTTACTTGCCCTTATTTACTTTTAAAAAGATATAATTTTTCTGATGGTATGTATTTATGCCAATAATTGATATACGTATTCAATATATTTAAAATATAATTAATGCTTTCTTGGTTTTACTTTTGCTCGGACATTTTTGCGTGCTCCAATTTTCATCAACATAAAAGTTGATCAGCCATTTGTCTGAGTTTGCGCTCTAATTATCGATACGTGCGCATTTTTCATAAATGCCGAAGAAATTAATACGTTACATATACAAAAACCCCAATTAGGAATATATTATATAGAAATCAATTACAGAAAATTTTCTTGTTATTAATAATCGAACCTTTAAAACGCTCATTTTTTCCTACGTCAGAAAAATTATTTTTGATAAATATTATTATATTATAATTAAGTAATATAAATATTATTAATTATAATTATAATTATATTTAAATATTTATAAATAATTTTAATATTACAATGAAAAAATATTTATTTGTTTTAAATAACCGATTATACTTGTTTAGTATCAAACAAATATTTACTTGAATTAAATAATTTTTAATTAAATCAATTAAATTGTATTTGAATCAATAATTTCAATATTTGAAGAAAATTAATTAATTGACCCCAATAAATATTATTTGATTCAATTAAATATTTAATTGATATAATAGTCAAGTAATCGGTTATTTGAATCAAATAAATTTTTTTCAGTTTATCAAATAAATATTTACTTGAATCAAATAATTATTAAGTCAATTAAAATATATTTGAATTAATAGTTTCAGTAATTGAAGCAAATACCATTTGATTGCTTTATAAAAATTATTTGATTCAAAGTAAATATTTATTTGATTATATACTATCAAATTTTTAATCAAATATGTTTATTTTTTCAGTGTAACAATTATAATTAATAGGCATTATTAATTATAATTATGAAATAATTATATAATATTTACAAATTATAATCAAACAAATATATTATACAAATTATATTATACAATTCTACAAATTTTAATTATTAAATAGTTCAGAAATTTTTTTAAATCATGTTTGGGAATAAATTAAAAGATTTATCACGCATAAATAGCATAAAATTAAACAGTTAATTTTTAAATTTAAATTATTTATTAGCTTATTAGTCGTAAAAATAAAAAAAAAATTATATTAAAAAATAAAAAAAATTTCCGGTACCGGGAATCGAACCCGAGCCTCCTGGGTGAGAGCCAGGTATCCTAACCACTAGACTATACCGGACTATGGGAAATTGGAATCAAAGGTCGGTGACAAACACGTGATTCTTAAGGTGAGTTCACACAAGAGAAAAAGTAAAGAGAAAGGACAGAATTTCTTTTAGAACCGACCAATCAAGTTGGTCATTCATGATTTCTGGAAAACTAACCTAAACTAAGCGTTTACTTTTTCGTGACACGTCAGCATAATTCGACTACATCTGTTTAAAATTCTACCAATTCTATAAAAGAAACTTTGTTTAAAAAAATTATTGTAATGTAATAAATTAATCGTGTGTTATTTAAAATTCCTGTTACTTTCAAGAAAAAAAATTTTATTTCCTTATGTGTAATTGGAAGTTGACGATAATGTTTAAGTTTTGATACTGATTTTTCACATTATAGTTTAACAGGTATATAGTGACTCACAATTTTAGAAAACATTCTACTTTTAATTGTTAAATAAATTATAAAAATTTATCAATCTCTTCAAGTCAAATAAAATTACATTGATTCGTTAATATTTTGACAGAAAGTGCTAATTAATTATTGACATCAGTGTTTGAAGTCAATAGACAGACTGATTTAATTATTATTTTAATTCTTTCTTTATCAATTTTATCAGAAACCACAATATTATTAATATCATAACATTACAAAATAAATGTTCCTAAAGTTTAATTTTTAATTTTAACTGCTCATTTGTAAGAAAACTTATCAATTAAAAAGCAATATTTTTTAAGCCATTTTTCATTAAAGTTAAATTTTTTCGGAAAAAAATATAAACTAATTAAATAGAACAAAAATGTTCGCAGTAGCTTCTAATATTTAATTTACTTTTTAATTTCGTTACTTAAATATTTCTTTTCTTCTTAAAAGGAGGTGTTGTTCGCTGATACGTTGTAAGTCACTATACCCTTCAATAATAAATCAAAATATATTTTTTATGAACAAGAAAAGAATTTGTTTTAAGAATCATTATGAAAATAGAGCGCAGAACTTTAATTTCAATTCTGAATCTCAGCCTATATACGAAAATCTTTATAAGTTTATGAACACATGATAAAATTAATGCACTTGCTTCCAATTGTACTCTGCAATTAAAAATTAATTTTAATTAACTAATTAATTAATTACACGTAAAAGTTAACAATATTTTCCCCCCAAAACAATGTCGAAAAAAATAAAAAATTTGTCAGAAGTGGGATTCGAACCCACGCCCTCATAGAGGACCAGAATGCCCAACACACAATACTCAGTCTTTGACTGAGAAGGCAGAAGCCTTGAGTCTGGCGCCTTAGACCGCTCGGCCATCCTGACATACAGGAATTTTCTTAAAATTCGATTACCATCAACCGATTAATTTAAACGGAGACGCAAGGGGATTTCACTTCAGTAGCGTATCAATGAAATGTACCGATGAAAAAAAAAATTAATATCAAGTTCTTTAAACTACAAAGAGTAGGTCCCTGGGGTAAAAGTAAACTGTCATATTTTCTACAAAACAATAAAACTAATATTTAAAAGAAAATTATGGACCGAAATTGAAAAAAAATGTTTCCGCCCGGGATCGAACCGGGGACCTTGTGCGTGTGAGGCACACGTGATAACCACTACACTACGGAAACCGCTGAGGGCACGAACTTTAAAGAAATACCCCCTTTACGGGAGGTAAAGAAGTATTTGATTTTACCCACTGATATTTTTTAACTAAAATTGTATTTAATTTAAACTTATATTTATTTGAATCTAATAAATTACTTTTCAGCTTTTGAGAAATATTTTTAAAATAATTCAATACTTTTTTATGAGAATGTAATTAGGATTTTTTTCACTGATTTTCTAAACAATTTTTGAAACTTAAAATAATTATCATTATTATGAACAAAATTTAATTAAAAAATTTTTAGAAAAATGTTTTAACATTATCTCTCTCTTAAATTTTTCTAAAAAGGAGAAAAATGCCAGTAATTTCAAATTATTACTAAAAATTTGCAAACATTTAGGAAAATATTGCCATTTTTTTGGAAAAAATTTGTTCTAATTAAATTTTAGAAAAACTTGTTTACAAAAGTAAACAAAAAAAAAATAAATTTAAAAAGTAAAGTTTATTTACATTGAAAAAAAAATTTATTTGATTCAAATAACCGATTAATTGACTATTATTATCAATTAAATATTTAATTGAATCAAATAATATTTATTGGAGTCAATTAAATGATATTTGCTTCAAATACTGAAATTATTGGTTCAAATACCGTTTAATTGACTCCAATAAACATTATTTGATTCAAGTACTAAATATTTAATTGATAATAGTCAATTAATCGGTTATTTGAATCAATTAAATTTTTTTCCAGTGTAGAACAAATTTTTTCCAAAAAAAGGTAATATTTTCCTAAACATTATAAAGTATATGACTTGATCGATTTAATCAGAAATTAATATAGACCTAATGGTAAATAAAATTATTTTATTAATTGATCAAA